TTCGCCAAAAATGGCCGTAGAGCCGCGATTTGGCATCATCGTGTTCAGCTAGCTCAGGCGCATCGAGTGATATACTTTTTGTTCGGGTCAGATCAACTTAGGGTGCTGACCTCAGGTCAAGGTCAGGCCAGCACCCCCAGGTCACGAAGGTGGTCGAAAAAGGTCATGTCGCATATCATTCGATTCGGCAGATATTCCTGAGTGCATTGGTGGCTTTCCCGACTCGCTAGCTCCATTTGATCGGGAGTTATTGAAGAAAAATTGTGACCCTTGTGACGTCACAAATGACGTCACGCAAGGGCAACAATGCAAATATGAAGCAAAGAACCTTGCAAGGAGTGCATGAAATCATATGCTTGATTGCTTGATTCTATATGCTTGAGATAGTTTCAGATCATTCTCGGCGCCAAAATAGCAATTTTCATATTTCCCCATTGACTTATAAGGGTTTAACGTATTAGTTCCTTGTATCTGAGGATTTTTATGATTTCATCTTGTTCTCCACTCATTTCTGCGTAAGATGCCGGGTACCGTGTCCACATAGCTTGAACGTAACGGATGCAGCGACCGCAAACGTAAATCGAGGTCTCGAATTCCCTATTCCCCAACACAGGCGGCGGCCGCTTCCTGGTCTGCGCGACATGGCGGCACCGTTGGACACCATCTGGCGGCCGATGCGCCTTCCACATTATAGAGTTCAGTGGTATGCAGTATTTTACATTATGATATTTTTAAGATTAAAACATCCTCCACATATTATTTCATGCTTTATTAAAATGATGCTTATTATACAGACAACGATCAATTTCAAAATATGTATTTTCAGAAACTAAATGCACACTTAAACACATAAAAACGAGTGTTCATCGTTATATGACCTTATTTTTGAAATTAAAAAGGGGATTTTTAAGAGGATTTTAGTACCAGTAGCCGTCTTAGATTTTCGGCAGCCACTGCATTATAGAATCGGTATGGGTCTTTAGCCTCACGTCTCACGTATGACACAAATAACGGGCACTTCATGGCTTCTGATTAGATGTTTAAATTAATGATAATATACCTTAGTTTGTCAAAAAATTGTAAATGCCGACTCACTATTCGTATCTCCTCACTTTCTGTCTGGCACAGTTACTGATCAGTGATCAATCTGCTGTGTCTCTTCCTGCATCTCGATCTGACTTCTGAGCCGAGTATTTTTCTTGATATAGCTTTGATATGTAACCGCAGGTTGTTGTCAATAGTTAAAACACTATTCTTTAGAATTGTGTCTTTCTATTGAAAAACAAATCTGAGTTCCCTGACAATTTGGCAAAAGCTGCCTGAGATCAGTACAACTTGATGCTCGAGAAAACGGCTGTTCCAAAAATTCTGATTTTTTTCAGGATTTCTAGTGGGCCAGGTGATCTACGCTCTGGTATGGGTCTCCCCTCCGCGGACCATCTGGTGCACGTGCCACGTGACTTTGAAAATTCCCGTGTTAAGCCAATGGGCAAAATGAAAAAAATGCGTTCCACGGCAGATTGCTCGAAAACGATCCGAACGACCCCCCATTTTCTTCCATGCAGATCAACCACCATTCGGTGCATTACCCATGGGTATGTCGCAAAGTGGCCGGAAAAGTCCAGAACCACGTGCCACGTGCCGTTGAAAATGACCCTGCACACCGGAAATTGGGACTTTTGGTCATTTCGGCGCACCCATGATGCATACTATGGCGTGGGTGACCAAACAATGGGTGTCATCTGGTCGGCATCTGTTTAAGGTGTCGTCCAGTGGGTCAAAGTGGTAGTTTCAAACTTTTGGGGTCCACCATTCTGGGGATTCTTTTTGACAATATACTTACGTGTCTTGGCGCAATGTTCATTCCAGGTCGTCAATGCGTTAGGTGACCGAGGTGACCCAAATGACGATTGACCTGAAGGAAGTTGGGGGCGAGGAACACGCACGTGCCATCCGTTTTTAATCAGGCGCTTTCATCTAGGAGATTTTTGCAGATATCTTTTTGATTTGTGAAAATGACCAGCCTACACTGTAAACCAAATCTACAAGTTGGCTCCTTGTTACAAGTTTGGTTCCAATTCGCATAGGCGTCACCTTGTCGATACCTTGTCGATTCACCAACCCCAGGCTTGTTGGCCAACAAACTAACAGTTTGTCTACAAGTTTGGTTCCAATTCGCATAGGCGTCACCTTGTCGATACCTTGTCGATTCACCAACCCCAGGCTTGTTGGCCAACAAACTAACAGTTTGTCTACAAGTTTGGTTCCAATTCGCATAGGCGTCACCTTGTTGAGTACTAGTTTGGGCCTTGTGGACCTACCAACTTCTAGATAGGCATAGTCGTTTCCTTGTCGGTTCACCAACCCCTGGTTTGTTGATGAACTAGCCTTTGACTGGGCATTGCTAGCTTACAAATTGTCAACAAGTAAGTGTACTAACGCTCTGTTCGAACTTGTTCTTCCTTACAATCGCTTTGTTTGCGTTGATAACCTTAACCCGCGCCCTGCTGGGGGGGTGTTTGAACACCCCCCTTGTGGTTTTTCGCGAATATCTCAAAAACGGCGGCGCGGAGCGCCGCCGTTTTTGGTACACCTTATCATACATCAATTCTACACATGTTGTAAAAATTTTAGACCAAGGTCATTCAAGGTCAGGTCACCAGGTCACTTGAAGTGACCTCACCTCATAAAAAGTTTCAATGTCTGTCATAGCTACACCGAGTGACCGATCGCTTTGAAACTTTCAGCGATTGCTAAGAGCAATAGCATGTACAAAATGTATATCTCAGAATTTTGATATCGATGACCTAAGGTCAGGTCAATTTTGCGACCTCCCCATTATAAGTCAATGGGAGAAAATTGAAATGCGCCTCTTTTGGATGAAAGACATTATAAACACTCCCAAACACCGAATTACAAGTGGTTTAGACACACTGAACTTGAAAATGGTGTCCGTGACCCTTGTTTATGCCCTGAGGTCATCTTAGGTCACGAATGGTATCTAACAGTTTTTCGCAAATAACTTTTGATAGAGGCATGCTAGAGCGATGAAAACGCCTTAGATGTGTTCAGCTCGACGATACGGATCGACTGATATGCAACATGACCCTTTCCGGTCAGGTCATGACCTTGACCTGAGGTCAAATTTTCAAGTTGACCTTTCAAGGTCAAGTTATAGTTCATTCGATGCGTCTTGACGAGAGGAACACGACGCCGGTAAAAGTAAGCTCGTACAAGGCTTGGGTCAAAAGTTATTGCAGAAAAACTGTTTTCGAAAAAATCGGCTATTTTTGCAGTTTTTGCCCCCTGCAGGCAAAACCGTTGACGTTAGGTCAAATCTGAGAGAATTACTCAGAAAGGGTGTTAATAGGGCTATCGAATGCGCTTTTCCGCGGCGCTGTAGCTCTATTGGTTCCCGAGTTATGCGTTGGCTTCTTGGAAATTGTCGACATTCGACCTGGAAATCGGCGAAATTTTGCCTTCAATGACCTCTGGTGACCTGACCTTTGACCTGACCAAAAAATTGACCGAAGTGATTTCGTCATTATTTTTGACGCTCTTTCGAACGCCGCCTTCCGCGTATCGCTACGTGGCCCAGGAGCCGAGTTACAAGGGGGGGTGTTCAAACACCCCCCCCCCCCCCAGCAGGGCGTGGAAATCCAGGACCCCCAGCAGGGCGCGGGTTAAGAACTTACGATTCGCGTTCGTTTTCAATTGCCACGATACTGATTCAGGAAATATTTTCTATACGGACAGGTTATTTTTTGGGTGGAAGTGGTGCACAAAACCATGACTGGCATCAGTTATTGCTCAAAGGCTTGCGCTGACAAGAAACGAAATACTGCTGGGTTATATAATCAATGAATGCATACACCACATGTACTGGGCACTGGCAGCGCTGATTGTACTGTGTTCTATTTGATTGTGCTGATCTATTTCGCCGGCACGCTCGGATTGGTGCACGTGCGGGCGATCGAAAAATCAAGGATGTGCCGGCGGCCGGCGGCAGCGGCCGACTCGGCCAAGGCCATATAACCAGGTATGGTCATCAGGCTTTTTTTTACCGTCCCCCTACCGGGCCCGAATGACGTCACTGGGATGGTAACTCGCCGGCCGCCGTCCGTAGCCATTATGGAGGACGGACGTTTAAATACGTTTTCAGCGGAGTTTAGTGCAGTTTTGATGTCCGATGCAAGGCAGAACGGTGTGATGTTTCCTCAGTGAAGCAAATCAGGACCAGCTGTTACTCGAACCAAAGATTTGGCGACATTATTGGGATCGGACCGAGCCAACGTGCGCCCCGCCGGTGATCCGGCCAGCACATCGGCGGCTCTCTCGTAGATGAAAATCGCCATAGTTTTGCGCCAGGCTTCGGAGTCAATGGATTTCTGGTGACTCTGACTCCAACCGCGACTTCCAAAAACCAACTCCGACTCCGACTCCGGGCTGGGTAATCAAATCCGACCGACTCTAACTCCGACTCCGCAGCCCTGCCAGATCTGCGGAGCGGCCAGGGCTGCGGAGTCGGAGTCGGAGTCGACAGTTGTGACCGGAGTCGGAGTCGGAGTCGACTTTAGAAACCCGAGCCGGAGTCGGAGTCGGAGTCACCGAAAATATGTCGACTCCGCAGCCCTGCTAGGTCTGCGGAGTCGGAGTCGGGAGTTGGAGTCGGTCGGAGTCGACAATTCTGCCCGGAGTCGGAGTCGGAGCTGGTTTTTTAAAGCCGGAGTCGGAGTCGGAGTCGGAGTCGCCGAAAATCCATCGACTCCGCAGCCCTGGCGGAGCCGATGGATTTTCGGTGACCCCGACTCCGACTCGGTTTCCAAAATCGACTCAGAGTCCGGTCAGAACTGTCGACCCTGACTCCGACTCCGCAGCCCTGGTTTTGCGTTTATTTCGCCCCATAATTAAGAGAGGTGTGAACTGCACAAACCGAAATTGTACCGTAACACAAGTATATGTACACATTCCAAACTTCTGACTGGAACGAACCAAATGCGTACACAATATACCGGTTTATGTCATACCATAAATCGTAGTTATAAAAAACCATATTGGACAGATTGGTAGAGGACAAATAAGGCACAAGCCTAATCTCTTGCGACTTGATTAGGTACAATAAAATGCTCCGAACTGTCGGAAAGTTGTACAAGATGTCGCCTCTCCAAACACAATGTGCCGATTGACTCCGCGACAGCCAGGAACCGGGCAACATAACACGTGAAACAGAGCGGTGGCACCTCAGCACAGGCTCCCCAAGCTCGTCAAGGCGGCGAGAAAGGTCCGGCAAGTCGGTAACAGGTTCACCACGGCAGCGACAGGTCAGGCAGGTCGGCAGCAGATTCACCAGGGCGGTGGCAGGTGCGACAGGTCGGCAGCAGGTTTACCAGGGCGGCGACAGATCCGGCAGGGCGACGGCAGTTTCACCAGGGCGGAAGCGTAGACGCGGCGGCAGGTCCGCCGGGGTGGCAGCAGGTCCAGGGCGGCCGCAGGCTCACCAGGGCGGCGACAGGTTCGGCAGGGCGACGGCAGTTTCACCAGGGCGGCAGCGTAGACACGGCGGCAAGTCCCAGGCCGGCTCAGGCTCACCAGGGCGGCGACAGGTCCGGCAGGTCGTCGGCAGGTCGGCCTCAGCAGCAGGCAGTAAGCACTAGCAGATTCTCGGGGCAGCCCTGGCTGAGGTGGGATGTCATCAGAAACTGCACGTCTGGGTGCCGGTGTCGGATGTCGTACAGACCACGCAGCGAGGCTTTACTGCGCAGCACGCCCTGCTGGCAGCGCAGGAGTGTCGGCAGCCCAGCGGGTGCTTTCGGGTCGCCTTCCTCAACTTCCTTTCGGAAACTGGCGCTCGCCACTCAGGGAGTCGGGCGACGTCTCCAAAGCTGGGAGACAGATGCTGAAGTCGATATGATGTGATTTTATGCCCTCAGCTCGGTGCCAGTCATTGTGTTATGTGCAGGTAGCCACTCCTCGCCGTCTTGCACGCCAGAGGACCAGCCCCGGACCTGCAAAACATATTACCAAGTTTATTAACACAATGCAACATGAAAAAATTCACTAAGCGATGGCAAGCAAAAATAATCAATGCCCAAAGGTGCCTTTTCTTCGATTGCCTTTTCTATGTGCTGATATGAAGCCTCAAAACATGTACCATTTTATATTATGTATTGATTGCAGGCCTGACTCAGAATTCAGTTGAAACAAGCAAATAACACAATTTTTCATTATTATTTTGAATTTGGGTCTGGCATTACTGTTCCATGCACAGGTGCGTCTGCGTATAAAATCATATGAAGCAAATGCATTAGGTAAATAGTCTCAACAAATAGAAATTAGTAGTATCACAGGTGGTATAAATAGAAACCAATATATAGACATTAGACAAGGATGAGCTTGTTTAGTTAGCAAATGTCAATGACATAACATTTACATAAACAAGAATGGGATTTTCAGTAATAAGCATGTCAGAAATCCTTTTAACCCGCGCCCTGCTGGGGGGGGGGGTGTTTGAACACCCCCCTTGTGGTTTTTCGCGAATATTTCAAAAACGGCGGCGCGGAGCGCCGCCGTTTTTGGTACACCTTATCATATATCAATTCTACACATGTTGTGAAAATTTCAGACCAAGGTCATTCAAGGTCAGGTCACCAGGTTACTTGAAGTGACCTCACCTCATAAAAACTTTCAATGTCTGTCATAGCTACACCGAGTGACCGATCGCTTTGAAACTTTCAGCGATTGCTAAGAGCAATAGCATGCACAAAATGTATGTCTCAGAATTTTGACATCGATGACCTAAGGTCAGGTCAATTTTGCGACCTCCCCATTATAAGTCAATGGGAGAAAATTGAAATGCGCCTCTTTTGGATGAAAGACATTATAAACACTCCCAAACACCGAATTACAAGTGGTTTAGACACACTGAACTTGAAAATGGTGTCCGTGACCCTTGTTTATGCCCTGAGGTCATATTAGGTCACGAATGGTATCTAACAGTTTTTCGCAAATAACTTTTGATAGAGGCATGCTAGAGCGATGAAAACGCCTTAGATGTGTTCAGCTCAACGATACGGATCGACTGATATGCAACATGACCCTTTCCGGTCAGGTCATGACCTTGACCTGAGGTCAAATTTTCAAGTTGACCTTTCAAGGTCAAGTTATAGTTCATTCGATGCGTCTTGACGAGAGGAACACGATGCCGGTAAAAGTAAGCTCGTACAAGGCTTTGGTCAAAAGTTATTGCAGAAAAACTGTTTTCAAAAAAATCGGCTATTTTTTCAGTTTTTGCCCCCTGCAGGCAAAACCGTTGACGTTAGGTCAAATCTGAGAGAATTACTCAGAAAGGGCGTTAATAGGGCTATCGAATGCGCTTTTCCGCGGCGCTGTAGCTCTATTGGTTCCCGAGTTATGCGTTGGCTTCTTAGAAATTTTCGACATTCGACCTGGAAATCGGCGAAATTTTGCCTTCAATGACCTCTGGTGACCTGACCTTTGACCTGACCAAAAAATTGACCGAAGTGATTTCGTCATTATTTTTTACGCTCTTTCGAACGCCGCCTTCCGCGTATCGCTACGTGGCCCAGGAGCCGAGTTACAAGGGGGGGTGTTCAAACACCCCCCCCAGCAGGGCGTGGAAATCCAGGACCCCCAGCAGGGCGCGGGTTAAATTCAATTTTGAAAGTTTAGATACAGATTATAAAATCTGGCAACAACTAATATTGAAAAGAAGTAACAATGAGCTTCAACTTTGCACAAAAGATGTGCCAAAATTTTGGTGAGAAATCACTTGCGCTGAATTTTGAGACCCGAAAGCCCCTGGGCCCTGACGCATCTGACAGTGAGTGAATTTTTTTTCCAGTCTGGGAGGTAAGCATAGATTGATTTGTTATTTGATACTATTTAATTTGACAAATAAGTTGTTATTTTCACAAAGCATGAAGATTTATAGAAGCTAACCACTCCCGATCCGAAACAATTTACAACTATTCCATCTCCATTCTCCTTCTCATTATGTTTTAAACAATGCTAAGGTATTTTACAACTTAATATGAGATTATCATGCTCCCTTTGAAAGCCAAAAATGACAAAAAAAGGTTAAACCGGGTTGAACTGAAACGTGGCTGATCTGCCTATTATACTCATGCTTATACAGTTGAATTAATTGAATACCTGAGCTGAACTGCTGAAGCTGGTCATTCTTCATGATCTCTGAGACGACAAGTGTGTGAATGCCACTTATGTATATGCTTTTCCGATCTTCAAACACATAAAAAGTGATATTATTATCAAATAAACAATATTCAAACTCCGTATAACAATACACGCAACGGCTGGAAAACACTGCGCCGGTGCGCCAGAATTGACAGCATCGCCTGAATCTCAGCGACCAATCAGCTTTCGACCATCCCAGTGACGTCACATTGGCAGCATTTGGTAGCAATTTTCCTCCTATGGCCCGGTAAAGGGACGGACCCCCCCTGGACTCGGCAGTGCGAGTCAGGCGGGTGCGGGGGAGTGTTGTTTTGTGTGCAGGTGCCCATTGCGAGAGTGAAAATATAATTTCGGATCACAAGCTATTTCGGCCACAATGGCGGGCCTGGACGTTAAGCTGATCCCAGAGTTTGACGGGTCGGGAGAAGATCACGTGGTGGACTGGATCGAGAAAGTGGAGATGGTCTGCACGCTGCAGACGCCGGCGGCCCCACAGGAGTGCGTGATTCCGCTTAGGCTTAGAGGTGGTGCGCTCTCTGTGTACCGGCAACTTCCCAGCGAGGATAAGAAGGACGCCGAGAAGGTGAAGTCGGCCCTGAGAAGGGCATTTGCCTTGGATAAGTTTTCTGCGTATGAACGTTTCGCAGAGCGGCGGCTCAGGCCAGGCGAGTCCGTGGACATATTCCTCGCTGAGCTAGAACAGCTGGCGTCACTTTTTGGCGGCATGACAGAAGAAGGCATCAGCTGCGCCTTCGTGACGGGACTACCGGACAGTGTCAGGCAAGTGCTGAAGGCAGGGGCTCGCGTCGACTCTCTCCCCCTGCGTGAGCTGGCTGATCGGGCTCGCGCCATCTTGCGTGAGAGTCAGGGAGTGGTCGCCATGGCAACCGGCAGTGACGTCAGCGGACCCCGGCGCCGGTGGAGCCGCGGGTCGGCGGTGGAAGCGGGCGCAGGGAGACGGGGACCGTGCTATTCCTGCGGCGAGTTCACTCACTATGCTCGCGCGTGCCCGGCACGTGACGTTACGGGACGCCCCGCTGGTGGTGAGGCGCGGACCCCGCGACAGCAGCGGATCTCCGACGAAGGCGAGTCACCGTCGCCTTTCGGGCGTGCGGGCAGCCGGTGCACCCAGATTCAGTGCTATCGGTGCAGGAATTGGGGCCACATCGCCGCATATTGCCCGGAGGGAAACGACCAGCGAGGGGAGGCACCTGCGCCGGCCTCTTCTCGGGATTGAAGTGGGCTGGCGCACTGCCGATAAAGGAGCTGGATGTGAATGGGGCGAGGTGTGCAGCGCTCGTGGACACCGGCTGCAGTCGGACTCTCGTTCACGTCTCGCTGTGCAGGCGGTGGCACCGGCGTGAGCTGCACGCGGTGACTGTGAGCGGTGAGCATCTGAAATGTGTTGGCATTGCTGATGTGCGAGTGGCCGTACCGGGGCTGCGGCGGGTGACGGTGAGCGCGCTGGTGGTGAGGGATAAGCCACTCGGCTTTTCCATGATAGCGGGCATGGATGCAGTGAGAGAGCTCGGTGGAGTGCTTGTCCGCTCGCCCGGTGATGTGCACTTCGGCTGTGAGCCGGCAGGAGAGGCGTGCGCTGCGTCGCCGGTGAAGGAGGGGTCGCTGCGAGTCGACAGAGAAGATTTCTGCGTCACCTTCGACCCGGTCCGGCGGGAGTGGACAGTGTCATGGGAGTGGTCCGCTGGTAACCCACCGCCCGACCTGGCCGGTCACGTGGACGAGTACCCAGTGCCGGCAGAAGCGCGTGCCGAATATGAGGCGGAGCTAGACGACTGGGTGAAGAATGGGTGGCTGCGAGAGTATGATGAGAGCGAGATGGGTCCCCCGAAGGGGCTCATTCCGCTGATGGCGGTCGTCCAGAAGACAAAGGTCAGGCCGGTCATGGATTTCCGGCCCCTCAATCGTCACCTGACAACTCATACGGCAGACGCCGACGTCTGTGCAGAGCAGACGCGCAGGTGGCGGCGGATGGGAACGGACGTGGCCTTGTTGGACCTGAAGAAGGCTTACCTTCAGATTCACGTCGACAAGAAACTCTGGCCTTACCAAACAGTGATCTACAGAGGAAAGCGGCATTGTCTGACGAGATTGGGTTTCGGCATGAACCTGTCGCCCTCCGTGATGAAGGCCGTGCTGGAAACTGTGCTATCGCAGGACGCGAAGGTGGAAGCGGCCGTGTCATCATATGTGGACGACATTCTGGTGAATGAGGCGGTGCTTCCGGCCCGAGACGTGGCTGAGCACCTGAGGAACTTCGGACTGGAGAGCAAGGAGCCGGTGAGGGCAGACAGCGGCGCTCGCGTCCTGGGTCACCGTGTCTGGGGGGAACGTGACGGGCACCTCCGGTGGCGCCGGGACAGTGAAGTGTGCGCGGACGTGCTGGCGACACCAGTGACAAAGCGAAGCGTGTTCTCGCTGTGTGGACAGCTTACAAGCCATTACCCTGTGTGCGGCTGGCTCCGTCCTGCCGCCTCGTTCGTGAAACGACTGGTGAGTGAGGCTGCGCACGGGTGGGACGAGCCAGTTCGTGATGAAAATGTCGTGCGGCTGGTGAACAAGTTGGTGGCGAGAGTGAGAGCAGATGACCCAGCGAAGGGTCAGTGGGATGTCGGTGACGGTGTAGCGACTGTGTGGACTGACGCAAGCTCACTCGCTCTCGGTGTTGCTCTCGAAGTGGGAGGTGAGATTGTAGAGGACGCGAGCTGGCTGAGGCCTCGTGATGACGTCAGCCACATAAATCTGGCCGAGCTGGACGCGGTGTTGAAGGGGGCTAACCTGGCCATTCAGTGGGGAGTGTCAGTGATGCGTCTCATGGTCGATTCTCGGACTGTGTATCATTGGGTTAGTGACCTGCTGAGTGGTCGGGCGCGACTTCGATCGAAGGCGACGACTGAGATGTTGATCAGGCGCCGGCTCGGCACACTGAGGGCTCTCGTCGATGAGTATGGCTTGAGTGTGAGCGTGTTCAGTGTCTCGTCTGCCTCTAACAAGGCCGACACACTGACGAGGGTGCCGGAGAAGTGGATGAAGGGGCGGACGGCGAACGGAGACGCCGCAGCGGTCGCCGACTCCGGCGGGGCGGCTGTCTCAGACACAGCCGCGGCCGGTGGCACCGCCTCGTCCGACTCCGACGGAGACGCTGTCAACGCCGCGCTCGGCACGGCCGGTCCCGCGCCGGCTCGCGGAGACGGAGACGGCGAGACAACCACGTCGGGGAACGGCCGCCAAGAGGACGATGACGCCCTATTGAATGAGGTGAGGAGAATTCATCACACGGCTGGGCATCCGGGCATTCGAAGGACGTACTTTTTCGTGAGACGCGCCCTCCCGGAGGTGTCTAAGAGTGTCGTCAGAGAGGTTGTTTTGGCCTGTGAAACGTGCCGCTCTATCGACCCTGCGCCGGTAAAATGGAAGAAAGGTGAACTGTCAGTTGCTACGGTGTGGGAGCGCGTAGCGATGGATATCACGCACTTTCGGGGCGGCACTTACCTCACGCTGGTCGACTGTGGTCCGAGCCGGTTTACCATATGGCGGCCCTTGCGGCTGCAGACGAGTGCAGCGGTGATTGACCAGCTTGAATCTGTGTTCTGTGAGCGCGGCGCGCCGAGTGAGATACTCACTGATAACGACCCGGCTTTTCGGAGCAGGCAATTCCGAGCCTTTGCGTGTCACTGGGGGATAAAAATCCGTTTCCGGTGCGCTCATGTGCCCTCTGGGAACGGAATGATTGAACGCTGTCATAGAACTGTGAAGGTCATCGCGGCTCGAAAAGACTGCACTATTAGGGAGGCGGTTTTCCGCTACAACGTGCTCCCACAAGATGACACGACGGCGGACTCAGCTCCGGCCTGTCGGCTGTATCAATACAGAGTGCGCGTGCAGGGCGTGGATCAGGATAACGTAGCTCGTGAGCGGAAGGCGACGGACCCAAGTGTATTTTGTCCAGGAGACAAAGTGTGGGTTAGGCCGCCCGACGGGCGGTGTGACAGCCGTTACGAGACGGGTGAAATAACTGGTATCGTTTCACCTCAGTGCGTGGAGGTCGGTGGTGTGCCGCGACACGTAAAAGACCTACGCCCGCGCGCGCCGTCTGAGTGTTATGAAGCGTCGTCTGCGAACGACGACGGTGATGAGCCCGTGATGTTCTGGACGGGAGACGCTGGAGCGCACGCCGATGCGGCGGTGGATGGAGATAACGATTTGGCTGCGGATGCCGGTGGTGTCGATGCCGATGGGCGGGCCGAGCCGCCTCTGAGGAGGTCACAACGTCTGCGGAATCCGTGTCCGCCGTGCAATTGTGGCCGTGAGTGACTTAACAGTCAGGGGGGAATGTACTGGGCACTGGCAGCGCTGATTGTACTGTGTTGTATTGTGTACTGCAGCGCTGATCTATTTCGCCGGCACGCTCGGATTGGTGCACGTGCGGGCGATCGAAAAATCAAGGATGTGCCGGCGGCCGGCGGCAGCGGCCGACTCGGCAGTGCGAGTCAGGCGGGTGCGGGGGAGTGTTGTTTTGTGTGCAGGTGCCCATTGCGAGAGTGAAAATATAATTTCGGATCACACCACATCCATTCGGAAGTTTCTGGAATCATTAGTATTTATTACGGTCACGTAATTAATACTATTGACTGGAGACAATTCCGAGTGCATATTTTCGAATGGATGTGCAGTAAATGCATGCGGTAGGTATACCCAGTAGGTATACCTATCGTGCACCGTCAGCATAGGTAAAGTCTTTGAAGCAAGAACTGCAGCTGCGTATGTGGAAGAACATGGTTTTGTGCACCGCATCAAGCCAGAAGTATAACATGCCCGTTGACGAATATTTCCTGAACATTAAGCATAACAATCATGCAGTTGCACGATCACGCAGATAATTCGAATAAATCATGATCGCCAACCAGATTAACTTTTACAGCCCATATATGTCCATCAGTTAAGTTAGAAATACAAAGAGTTGAATTAAAGGCAAATAAATGTATTCATATGTAAAAAAACACCGACCGCAAAACATCTGCTCACATGTGCATGCACTGGTCTGGCCCACTTACATTGCGCGCGCAGGGGAAGGGAGGCGTCTCGACCGCGGGTATAGGCACGATTAGTGCGTCCCGCAGGCCAGAGGGGGCCTCACTCACAGCACGAACACCACAGTTCACAGATTTCACTTTTTACTGCACAAATGCTGGAACAGCCCTCGTCGCTGCTCCAGGCTGCACGGCGGCCGCGCGACAACTGCTGGTTTGAAACCG